GTTCTTGGAAACCACTTAGAGATGCCCTGTCCAAGAGAAATACAACGCAGGCCACATAGGTAAATTTATATATTCTAGAGCCCCATTTAAAAAAGCAAAGAAGTTGAAATTAATTTAATAATCTATCTTATTTAATCAAATATATTCAAGGCACTACCATTTCCATATCGCGTCAGTGTGAAAAATTAACAAGGTGTTTTGTATATATTGTTTTTGTAGTAAATTTGCAAAGACCAATGTGGACTTTATGCTTATAGCAAGCACATCTTAAGTCAGGCACTATATTTTCATCATTGATTGGCTGCCTCCTGCATGCCCCCTACTGGGGATCGTGCCTGCAACCCAGGCATGTGCCCTTGACCAGAATCGAACATGGGACCTTTCAGTCCACAGGCCGATGCTCTATGCACTGAGCCAAAGCAGCTAGGGCGTTTACGTCCACTCCTGTTCCCCTAGTTTGTTCTTCACACAGAGATGTCTTCCTTATGGGTTAAGTTAGGTCATTGTCAATCTTGTATTCAAAATCCTCCAGAGTGTGAAAAATTAACAAGGTGTTTTGTATATACTGTTTTTGTAGTAAGTTTGCAAAGACCAATGTGGACTTTACGCTTATAGCAAGCACATCTCAAGTCAGGCACTAAATTTTCATCATTGATTGGCTGCCTCCTGCACGCCCTCTACTGGGGATCATGCCTGCAACCCAGGCATGTGCCCTTGACCAGAATCGAACATGGGACCTTTCAGTCCACAGGCCGATGCTCTATCCACTGACCCAAACCAGCCAGGGCGTTTACATCCACTCTTGTTCCCATAAGAAAACTGGCCATACCTGGTTTGGCTCAATGAATAGAACATTGGCCTGTGGACTGAAAGGTCCCAGGTCCGATTCCTCTCAGGGGCACATGCCTGGGTTGCAGGCACGATCCCCAGTAGGGGGCATGCAGGAGGCAGCCAATCCATGATTCTCTCCCATCCTTGATGTTTCTAGCTCTCTCCCTTCCTTTCTGATATTAAAAAAAAAAAAAAAGAGTGGACGCAAACTCCAGTTGGAAGGTCATTTCAATAGTTACGACAAGAAAGAGTAGATAGAGGTGTGGTCTAGGATGGAAATGATGGCAGCAGTAGGAAGTGATGAAATGCCACACTTATTTCAAAGTTCCTACGTCTTTTATTTAACACAAGAATCTGCTTAATATCGAGGCAGAGCTGCCTCAAACAGACTGTCAAACTGCAGCGGGAAGGCCGGGGAGGTAGGGGGGCAGAAGGGGGGAGGGTAAGAGATCAACCGAAGGACTTATATGCATGCATATAAGCATAACCAATGGACGTAAGACACTGGAAGGTAGGGGAGGCCAGGGGATTGTCAAGGGCGGGGGAAAAAAGGAGACATATGTAATACTCTTTGTAATACTTTAAGCAATAAAAAAAAAAGAATCTGCTGAATATCATCCTCAATGGAAAGACGGCAATGTGCTCTAGCTACGTGGGGCTGAAATTTCAGTATAAAAATACCTCTATCTCAGATAATGGCTTCTTACTACTTGTCTCCTCTGATAGGTCCGAGAAAAAACCGTCTCTCTTTCCACCCGGAGTTTTGTCAATGAACCAGCCTCCTTCAGAGCCCCTGGCAGGGGCCTTCGGTGGAACAGAGCCGGCTGTGGGAGCTGTCGGTGGTGCTGACCCGCTGGGCTCTCTTTGCTCCCTCTCGGGAGTGCTGGCAACAGAATCAGGGTCTCCTTTCCGATATAAGGAGAGCAGGGAAGAGTTCATGTGATTTGCCAACTGGGAGAAACATGATGTTAGCGTAAGTTAACAGGTACTCATGAAGGTTTGATGGCCTCTGTTAACACGTTTTCTACTTTGTGCCTCCAACAACTTCTCACATAACTTTATAGTCAGAAAAACAGGCGTTTGCAATGAGAGGATTCCAACACAAATATTTACTATCCAAAAAGGCGTGTCCCCTTGCCACTCCAAGTTAACGTACCAATTCATAATGGGCAGTTAAATAAAACTAAATAACAATTTAAAAAATATAAAAAGCAAGTATGAAAATGAGCTGGTAGGCAGTCAGTGAGAGTCACCACTATCCCATCAATTAAAAACTAGATCACATATATCTGAGTATCATCATGGTTATTAATAAATTTAAATACTGAATTAACAATGGGGAAAAGTAAGTTACAAATAATTTTCATATTATTCCTATGCTCTTTAATCCAAGTCTATTTATTGGTAGAAAATGTATCCTTTTCTTCATTTTTACTATGAATTCCCCTTTCTGTGCATGTCTGCCCTTTATATGGCCTTTCTCTTCCCCTCTTTTCCCGTTTTTATAATCGGCTATAAAAACAAACATGGGCAGGATGGTTAACCCCAGAGTTCACTAACCCTGTACACAGGAAGCATTCAACTGTTCACAGATGAAGATGTTCAAAGTCTCCTATTGTATTCCTCACTGATTTTTCTCTAAGGAGGCTGATCATGATTTTTAAAAGACTCAAAGTCCATTCAATGTTTGGCTTACCTGTGGATCTGGGTAATCGTCCATATTTGAATCGTCATCCGAATAGCTTTCAGTATACCTGAGTGAAAAGAGGGGGGAAAATTGTAAAGGCTTTTCTCTTACATCCTAAAAAAATTACTAACTAAAACAAGAAAATACACTGAGGGGGAATATTACTATGGTGGTTCAGAGCACGTGCTTTGGGATCAGAGAAATCTGGACTCAAAGTCCAGGTTTACCAGTTACGTTCTAGCTTCTATTTAATCTCTCCGAGCCTCTGCTTCCTTATCTACAAAATGGACACCTCACTGGATTATTAGATTAAAAGAAACCTTGCAAATCAAAAGAAGAAAAAAAAGAGAAGGGGGAAAAAAAAGAAAGCTTGCAAAGTCCTTAATACCTAGTAAATGCTTAAGAAACTGTGGCTTCCATTAGCTGAGCAATAAATAAAAGTGCAATGTGAATTCCCACTAGATCCCAGGGTCTCATTTAGGAATGTCCGATGCCAGGAGAGGGAAGACTCCGTAAGCCATGTAACCAGATGGAACGTTTACACGTCTGCTTGGAAGAATGAAGGTACACAGTTGTTCAATACCATATGATAAGAAAAACAAGGATAAATCCTAATAATTATAAACTGAGAATTTAGTCTCAGTTCTTTATAACCAAGAGCTGGTATCTAATAACTACAGGACTCTACTATTTATTATTGTTTCTATAAAAATAATAAGAAAAGGGCTTTCCAAGTAAAAAGGTTTACATGAATGCTATGACCCATCTTTATAATTAAGACGTGAATTTCTTTGCTACTTATTAAATTCAACTAAGGTAATTTGGTGCGTTTCTTTTCAATATAAAGAAGGTAGATTACCCAACTATTTGGGAAAATATCATTTTACCCTAGAATCACGCCATACAAGTATAATTAATTACAAGTGGATGAAGTAGTTAAATGTAGTACCATAAAGGAACAAGAAAAAAGTACAGGTAATTGTTCTATATGCTCCTGTGATAGAGGTCTATGTAAGCATTCACAGCTTAAACCACACAGGAAAAGGTTGGTAGCTTTGACTCGGTAAAGATGCAGAACTTCTCTAATGAAGACATTATAAACAAACAGAAAAGGCAAATGGGAAAATGGGACAAGCATTTGCAATACATGCGGAAAGAGGTGCTATTTGATACAAAGAACTCTGACAACTCATAAGGAAAATTCAAATACTTCTCAAATGAAAGACAAAATCCATAAGAAATTCATAAAGAAATATGAAACAGTAAAAAAACGACGTTATTAAAAGATTACAAATAAAAACAATATGATCTGTGCTATTTGATACAAAGAACTCTGACAACTCACAAGGAAAATTCAAATACTTCTCAAATGAAAGATAAAATCAATAGGTAAGAAATTCACAAAGAAATATGAAACAGCAAAAAAAATCACGTTATTAAAAGATTACAAACAAAAAAAATATGATCAATGTTTGCCTATACTAGTGAAGATTAAATAATTGTGTAACTAAGATTACAAGGGGGCAGAGAAATGCATTCTTCACACAAAGCTGTTGGAGTACAAACTCAGGCAACCTTTCTTGGAGGGCAGCTTCAAATGCACTAAAAAATACATGCTTGAAAACATAAATCTCTGTCTCCAGAAATACCACTTCAGGATTTTAACATATAAAAACAAACAAATGGCCCTAGCCAGTTTGGCTCGGTGGATAGAGCACTGGCCTGCAGACCGAAGGGTCCCAGGTTCGATGCTGGTCAAGGGCGCATGACCAGGTTGCGGGCTCGATCCCTAGTGGGGGCGTGCAGGAGGCAGCCAATCAATGATTCTCTCTCATCATTAATGTTTCTATCTCTCTCTCCCTCTTCTTCCCTCCCTGAAATCAATAAAAATAAATAAAAAATAGAAAATAGTCTAGGAAGGCCTGACAAAGACAATAACACAGCATTCTGAAAGCTGACTCTCGAATGCTGAGTGGGAGCTTGTGAAAAAGAAAGGAACATTCCAGCTACAGAAAACTGCAGTTAAGGACTGGAGAGGTTAGGCAAGTGTTACACAGCGCCTCCTGGGCAACGAGGAGCCACTGAAAGTTTTACGCATATAAATGTGATCAGATTCATGTGCTGGATAGAAAAACCCTGCACTCCGAAATCCTTACTCATTATCCTCTTCACCTTGTCTTGCTCTTTTTGCCAGATGTTCATCTTCTAATTCTGTTAGATTCTTAAGTTCCTTCTCACTATTAATTATGCTAAATACTGCAACAAAAAGAAAAATGCCATGAGCCAAAACCATTCTGTAATGTTATTAATGATTCATTTCTAACGCTAATAGACTCACCTTTTTCTACCTGAATCCTAAAAGCATTTCTTTTTCTTCGACCGTAGTCTATGCTGAAAAAGAAGACAGAAGTTTAGTACAGTGGTCTCCCTCATGTAAGTTTGCATGAATATATAATTATGCCACTGAATTTACAGACCATAAATCTATTTTCAAACAACTTCGGAGTATACACGTTTACAACTATAATTTCTCTGGGTATTCTACAGAACAGGCCAAAAGAGCTAAGCAACTGGGAACATGCATTCTCCTTTAAAAAAAAAAGCAAAGAGTGACTTCCCAGGAGGCTCAGAGGATGGCAGAGCTGCCACTGCCACCAGGGACCCAGTGAGCACAGACGGGGCCACCGGACAGGGCCCTGCACCACAAGATTAAAGTCTAGTGGAATTCACCTAGCTACGTTTCAGACTTGACACCATAACCCCTTTCTTCTTTCCAATTTCTCCGTTTTGGCATGAAAATGCCTATCCTATACTTGTCCACTACTGCATTTTGTCTTTTTTAAAATGTTTTATTGATTTTCGAAAGAGGAAGGGAGGAGAGAGAATTATCAATGAGAGAGAACCATCAATTGGCTGCCTCCTGCACGCCCCCTACAGGGGATTGAACCTGCAACTCAGGAATGGACCCTGCCGGGGAATCGAACCAGTCACCTCTAGGTGCATGGGAAGATGCTCAACCAACTGAGCCATGCCAGCGAGGCCCACCCTTGTATTTTGGTAGCAGATAACCTGTCTGGATTTCCAGGTTCACAGCTGGAGAGGAATTCGGCCTCAGAATGAATCATAGCTCCAGTCACACCATATCTGAGTTAGATGAGATTTAGATGTAATTTTGGAGTTAAAATTGAGACTGAAATGGGTAACGACTTCTGAGGTTACTGATCTTTTACTTGTAAGCAGAAGGATTAGGTTTGGGAAGGCAAGAGGCAGAGTGTTATGAAATGAACTGTGTCCCTCCAAAATCCATATGATGAAGTTCCAACCCTGAGAACCTCAGAATGTGACTGTATTTGGAAACAGGACCTTTAAAGATATAACTCAGACTCTATTTCTTTACCTGTACATTCTTTGTAGATCAGATGCCATGATTCCAGTGTCCACATATTTGCCACATCTGCTACTGGTGAGGTACTAAAACAGAAAACATGATAAATATAAACACTCAATGTTTCAAACTCAGAGATTTTCTTTATTTTTTAAATATATTTTATTGATTTCTTACAGAGAGGAAGGGCAGTAGGATAGAGAGTTAGAAATACTGATGAGAGAGAAACATCGATCAGCTGCCTCCTGCACACCCCCCACTTGGGGATGTGTCCGCAACCCAGGTACATGCCCTTGACCGGAATCGAACCTGGGACCTTTCAGTCCGCAGGTCGACGCTCTATCCACTGATCGATGTTTCTCTCTCATCCATGTTTCTAACTCTCTATCCCTCTCCCTCTGTAAAAAATCAAGAAAAAAAATATCTTTAAAAAAGATTGCTTCTTGACTGTACCATTCATTCCAAGACATTTAGCACACACTGCTTTTACTAATGATTATGGAAAACAAAACCCTTAGGTAAAGTGCGTATTGTAAAGTCCCATCCATACTACCTATTTCTGCTGTATCCCAACCTGACCCCAAGTTTCCTGAGATGGAAATGCTTTACGGCACCCAAAGCGCCTCGTACAGTAGGGAGGGCCCTAGCTTCACGACAGGAAGATTTTATTATTTTTTTAAATATATTTTATTGATTTCTTACAGAGAGGAAGGGGAGTAGGATAGAGAGTTAGAAATACTGATGGGAGAGAAACATCGATCAGCTGCCTCCTGCACACTCCCCACTGGGGAAGTGCCCGCAACCAAGGTACATGCCCTTGACCGGAATCGAACCCGGGACCCTTTAGTCCGCAGGCCAACGCTCTATCCACTGAGCCAAACCGGTCAGGCGACAGGAAGATTTTAACTCCAAGGCCATCTCCGCTCTCCTTCCCGATCCGCGCTGAGGGGCTCCAGACCAGGGCAGGCCCCGGGGCTGCATCCTCCCACCCGGGCGGGTCCTAGACACGCCGCCCCCCGGCGGGAGCGCAGGCCCGGCTCCGCGGGCGGCGGAGTGGAGCTGCCAAGAGCCCCACGGGGGCGGGCGGCTAGTCCCGTCTGACGTGGGAGCCGCCCTGCAAGGTGCCGTGGGCAGCGGGCGCGGAGCACTGTGAGGCCCACCTGGA